GCTAGTGCTAGCCAATACCAACCCAAAAGGCTTAAGGCTCATAACGATGCCATCACCCCACCAGCTAATCCAAGCACCTAAGCTTTGCTTAGAGGGCTGCATTAGTCACTTTCCCGGAGGCCAAGGGCTGCACTTGGTTTTAAACAAGAGTAGTTGCAATCACTTCATCCTGGGAAAGACAGGCTGCATAATTTACTTAAGGGGCATACCCTGAGCTAAAGAGCTCCTGAGATAAACCCATCAGTTTCAGAGAAACTGTCCCTATTTTAAACCCAATCCCATAAATCCCCATAGCCAGTGGGCAAGAAGAGAAGCACGTTCTCTTACCAGGCTCTCCTCCTACAGCCTCCTTCTGCGTGCCATGCAGCACACAGCCAGTCTGAACAGTAACAAGAGATAAATACTGACATGGGGAAACACGAGAAGCTCCCTTACTGTGCTAAAACATCACAGGAACAGCATTAACACACCTCTCCGCCTTATTTTGATCACAACCTTATCTGAATGGCCCCAATGCCTTCTAATTCTACCAGTTCTAAAGTCAGTCTGAAGCAAATTCTGCTTGCTTTTCACTCCTGAGCTAGAAACCTGAACAGTGACTTGCTTTCTATTCGTCTTCTGACAGAAGAGGGTAGAGGCACAGAGTGCAGTTTGAGTAAGAGCTTGTATTCTGCAGACCACTAATGGTCTAGGTGCCCTGACTTGCCAGCGTTTCTCTCTTTACTGTTACTGGAGAGCAGATAACTGCATTTCACACTCTGTGCCTCTGCCTGCAAGCTTTTAGCTGAGCTGCCAACCTCCCACCAAGATCAAAATAATACATGACTTGCCAGTAACTTTTGACTCCATAGGTCACTCACTAAAGGCGAGAAGCTGACTCTGCCTTTCAGATCAATTATATTTTGGCACCAGAGGCTGCACTTTTCTCCATCCTCCAGTTAACCCTAAGAACAGCCTTTAAATACTCTAATGGTCTTCAGCAGTATAAACTTAGAAAACCAAGATATTGTGCTGCCAAAGATAGTCTCGGCTTTACTACTTTTTGATGCAGGGATGAGACAAGAAAAGTTTAATTAAGGGTCACAGGAAGTTTCTTTACAAAGCCCATTTTGTTTAGTGATTGTTCCTGCTCCACCAAAAAGAAAACAAACCTACAACAAAACCAACAGAGATAGTATCAAACTGGAGTGCATTTCCAGTCCTCTTTTGTTTGAAAGAACTCAAGATGTAACCCTGCAGAGCCTCAAGACTCAACTCTCCAAGGACCAGAACTGTGCTCTCTCACTCAGGAGGAAGAGCCGGCCATGATACCTTTCAAAGGCATCTCCAATCCTCTCCCTGGAACATGGCCACTCTGCAGCCCAAAGAACACCAGGTATCTTTGTCACTAGATGTCAGTAAGATGGCATTTCCTACAGAAGAGGAGAGATGCCTCTCTTCTGACAGGAAAAATATGGAAGTAGACAGACTGGCAGCATCTCTTCAAATTTGAGATTGTCCCTCCAAGCAAAACTCACAGGAACACACGCAGTTTTTACTGTAGGAAAAAAAGACTAGCTACAGCTCTGACAGCATTCAAGCAAACGTTGCACAATCAGACACCACATGAGCCCATATACAGTTAGAAGCCTGCAATACCTAGACTTCTGAGCCACAGAAGCCATCCAGACTCACCTATCTGGGAAAGTTCCAGGCTCAGATTTTGGCAGCCTGAGGCTAAAACTTGATAGCAGCTTTGTCATACTAAAGCAAGCAGAAAACAGATCATGGACTCACACACCTTATGGAGAGAAGACTAGATCAAAACCCAGTCATTTCCCATTGGGGAGAGAGGTTAACTGCACTGGGCAATAAACACAGGCTGTGCTTCCTGTAGCTTTCCCAAATCCAAAAACCTAGCCCAGGGAAGAATGGAAGTCGAAACCCATCTAGGAGAGCTGTTGGATGGGAGCCTGCTTTAAGCCTCAGAACAAGCAGTTCAGCGTCAGCGGCGCTGCGTTCTACCTCAGCAGGTTTTCCAGGGAGGAAGCAAAGGGTGCAAGCCATGACCCAGCTAATTCACTTTTGGATCAGCAGTACAGACAAATAATTTTCGGTAAAGTTCCGGCCAGATCTGACTGAAAAAACCTTTGCTCAAGCTGACCTGACACATTGGTGCCGGCCTTCCTGTGCCACACACAGCCCGACTCCGTCCCCACCCTCACCCAGTGCAGCACCGCAGGGCTGCCACACAGGTATTCCCGGCGGAGAGCTCATTAACAGAAGCAGTTAATAAGCCCCCTCAGCCCCAAGCAATGTGTGACAGCACCCCCTCAGAGGGGGCTAAGGAAAAGCCCTCTCGGGGGAGCCCCGCTTCCCACCTTCCCTCACGACTGCAGACTCGCTCCCGCTCCCGCCCCCACGGGTAGCCGGCGGAGACCTCGCTGTGCAGCCACCCCCCGCCCCGGGGAAGGCCCGCGGACCCCCACCCTCGGCCAGCGCCCACGGAGCCGCCACCCGCGGCGGCTCGGCCACCGCCCGGCCGCTCGCGGCAGAGGGAGCCCGGCCGCAGGCAGCTGCCCGGCGAAGGGCCGGGGACCGCGCAGCCCTGCGCGGAGAGCGGAGCGCGGCCCGGGGTCTCCTCACCTGCCGCCGCCGCCGCCGCCGCTGCCGCCCCGCGCCCAAGATGGCGGCGCCGCCCCCCCTCGTCCCGCGCCCCCCCCGCGCACTGCAGAGCCGCCGCGCGCGCGCGCCCCGCCCGCGCTCCCTCACCGCGCATGCGCTACCGGGGGGGGGGGGGGCCCGCGCGACGGGGACGGGAAGGTCGTGAACGCGCGGGGCGTGCCGGGAGTTGTAGTCCGGTCGCGAGGGAAGGACAGCATGGTGGCTGCGCTCAGCCAGGGGATGGGCAGAGGGAGCGCACGGGCAGGAAGCTGCGCCCCCCCATGCACAGGCCTGAGGTCGCCATGCCCTTCCACGGAGCTGGTAGCTCCTGTTGGCCCCGCACACAGGCATCCCCCCCTGCGCCCGCGGTGGAACCAGCCCCTGATTCTCCCTGCAGTGCTCCCGCTGGAAACGGGGACCCCGGGAGCCCCGAGCGCCCGCGGGCAGGATCCGCTGCGCGGGGTGGGGGAAGTAGGAGGCCGGGCCCGGCGCCGGCTCAGACCGCAGCCGCCCTCAGCACCCCGGCAAGAGGCAGCTGGAACACCGGCACAGAGTGCCCTCATCCCGCCGGGATCTCGCTTTAGAGCAAAATGCAGGAGGGCCGAAGAGGCTGGGGGGGGGGGGGGGAAACAACGAACGACACAAGGCAGGAGTCCAATAAAACTATGTTTATAAATAAAAACAAGGAGATTGGTGTTGTTTTTATAAAACCCAGTGAGTAGGGCAGGGCGAGGGGTGAGCAGTGGCCAGGGAGGCTGCTGGGGACAGGCTGACTCCAGCGGACAGAGGGGAAGGAGAGGCTTCAAGGAGTCAGGGAGATGAACGGATGGCGTGTAAGATCTGGCAGAGGGGCTGCAGGGGGAACGCAGACCCCCGAGGGAGCAAAATACATTTCATCTCCATCATATAAAAATCGCAAACACAAGAAAGACCAAAGGAGGCAAAGCTTGCCTGGTGAAAGCCACGGTGTGGCAGGAGGAGAGGGCGCCGAGGCGCCAGCACCAACAGCAGCAGGGTCGAGCATGTCCATACTGTACCGTGCTTGGCCCTGGGCATGGGGAAGGGGCTGCCCCAGCCCGAGGCACATCTCTGAGTACCCAGAAGAGGAAAGAAGAAGGGCAGGGAATGCTGGAGCAAAGACTCAACTGTCCTGGTAGATCTGTGGGCACTGAGCCCAGAGGCCACAGTTCAGGCCACAGTCTCCCTTCCCAGAGAGCTTGTGTTGCCACCAGGCACCACTCACAGCCCAGAGGGAACAGGGCTGTCCCAGAGCCTTGTCCCTCCTGGCAGCCAGGCCAACAGCACTCATGGCACTGGGCAGAGGGGGAGGCAGACTCAGGCCCTTCGTAGGGCAAATACAGGGGACCTCTACATTTCCCCAAAGCATGAAAGCAAACCAGTTGTGTCCCTTCCTTGCCTTCTAAGTCCGTCCAGGCCCTTGAAGGTATCACATTGCTGAGCAGCAGCGCGACAGCAGGAGGGAGAAGGCCACAGCTGCCACCGCCAGCCCCAGGCATGGGAGAGCCCCTACAAACGGGACAGGCAGCAGCACATTGCAGGCAGGACAAAGAGCAGGATGGAGGGAGCAGAGCTCTGCCCTTAAATGCCCCCAAAGTACCCAAGGGCAGGTGTAGGGCACTGAGTCACGTAAGAGACTGTGCACAGACACTCACCACCGCTCCGGGCTGGACACAGAGGTACAGCCCCAGCCCTGAGCCTTATGGCCTGGGCAAGGAGAAGGAGGGTCCTGCCATGGCGTAATGTCAGGCTTGGACCTGGCCCAATATGTGGGCAAGAGAAGGGAAGCAAGAGGGAAGTGGCAGCATCTCTCCACTCCCTGGAGGCACTGAAGCCCTGGAACATTCATGCATTAGCCAAAAGGCAACTACAACGGGATTTAAAATACATATATAAGGCTGGTCCCTGCTCCCCTCTCAGGGCTGTGGGAAGGGCAGGGCATCTTCCGCGAGGGGGAGGAAAGAAGCCATCTTCAGCGCCATGCGTGCCCAGCGCCCCTGGAGCTCCGTGTCCTGCTGTCGGGCCACGCCACGCTCCAGCTCTCCCCCCCACGGGCGGCAGGCTCAGAGAAAGTCAAACACCCCGTAATTCTTTGCTGCTTGATAGAAGAAACACAAAAGGGTGAAAAGAAAGAAGAGATATTTAGGGCGGAAGGACCGAGGCAGCAGCGACACACGGGCAAGCAGCACAGGGCGCTGGGACGGATGCGGATTAATGGGGTTAGAGAGGATGGCAGAAGGGAATTACCATTGGCAATACACAAGTCTGGTGGCGGGATGGGCTGGCAGCACCCAGCAGGCCTGCCAGGCCTGTCCACCCCACTCGAGGAGGGATTAGAATCAAGGTTTAGTTCCATTTATTATTTTTTTCCCTTTTTTTTCTTTTCATTATCAAGACAAAAAAAAAAAAAAACAAAACAAAAAAGAAAAACAAAACAAAAAAAACCAACAAAACAAAATCAAAAAAAAAAGGGGCGAAGCCAGGGCTGGTCCTAGGAAACAAACGACAGGGACAGAGGGGGGGAAGGAGGGGCAGCAGACAGACAGGGGATGGGCGCTTCACATTACATCCACAAAGAACTCACTGGGGTTGCCCATGGCCATTCGGAAGGACTGTCTACTGGCTGTCAGTTCGGGGGGCACAGAGGCCAGGTCACGGCCCGGCGGTGCCCCGGGGGGCCCCATGGCTGAAGGCGGTGGAGGCATCAGCAACATGGGGGGGCTGAAGAGAGGGGGGAGGCCGGGCGGCCCGTAGGACTGCTGGCTGTGGTGGCTGCGGATGCTGTGAGCCAGGGAGTGCTGGCTGCGCTGGCTGTGCTGGCTGGCCGGCACCGAGCGCTCGCTGGCCGCGCGCTCACGCCTCATGCTGCTCCTCGTGGTGTGGTCTGACTCGCTCCCGCTGCCACCTGACTTCGACTCCCCGGTCTTCTCTCTCTCCTTCCTCCTTTCGCTGCCACTGCGATTGGAACCACTGCTCCGGCTCCCTGCAAAGCGCACGAGACAAGGTTAGGCGGCAGCTCAGACAAGTCAGGAAGAGCGGATGCTCCTCTGGCCAAGAGAGAACTACAGCACGCTCCAGCACAGCCATCTGCCAGCAGTCTGTGCTCTCAGTCTCTTTTCAACTCCAAGTCCCACGACCCTTCTGAGATGGCTTTTACCCTGGCTCCCCTCACATAGGACCTCACTTAAGCAGCCTTTTCCCGCTCCTTCCCAGTACTGAATGGGGCACCTGCCCACCCTCAGGTATATTTTAGTCATTTTTACTCACCTTCACTGTGCTGGCTGCCTGCACTGCCCCCTCCGTAGCTGTAGCCTGGGTCAGGGAAGCCGGGATGGGGGTTGTACGGATGAGGCGGTGGATACTGATACGGGAAAGCCATAGGCCAGGGTGCGGCTCCTGGATGGGGGAGCGGAGCCAAAGTGTCCTGATCGGAGGCACCGCTGGAGCCATCATGATCGTGAAGAGACAGATTAGCCATGTCTGCAAGAAAGCAGAGAACGGGGGTTAATCCAAGCAGAAAGACAACCACGTGTGATGAAGCAGCTCCCCATCCAGTCTTTGCTGATGGACAAGGACAGGATATGCAAAGAGACACAAGAAGCTGGCACTCTCCTTGCTAGTCAGTGCCACCATTTGTGCTTCCTGGCTGGACAACAGCCAGGCTGCCTGACTCCAAGCTGCCACTCTAATACAGGGACCAGCTTGGTGGGAAAGAACCACACCAGAGCTACAGGTTCACCCTGCCAATTCCTTTCCCCATCCCTCTTTTCTGAGTAGAACCCAGTTGCCTGAGCACCAACCCCTTGCCAGCACTGGAAGTTCAGAGCCTGGAGTCAGTAAAGACTAAGACTCTGCTAGGGCTGCCCAGGAGCAAAGATCACACAGTAGGTGACACTGTCAATGCTGCTTCCAACTTCACTACCCCAGCAGCATGACAAAGGAGCTGGGATATTTTTTATTGCTCTCTTAACAAGGTCTGTAGAACAAGGGTCCCAGCCCGATGCCAATGGCTGTAGCTGTGTCCCCACAGTGTCATCAGGGCTCTGCAGGACCCCTAACCCTCCATCCTCTCCCTCCCACCCATGCCAAGGGCCATACTTCCACAGAGGTCCCCGAAGATGTAATAGCACTGCTCTGAGAAGGTGATCTTGTTCACGGTGTGTCGGATGTAGCCAGCCTTCAGCAGATTGCTGGCATATTTGCGGGATTCACGGCGGTCTGTAAAGCCCTCCACATGGTGATAGAGCCAATCCACCACATCTGAACCTGCCACCAAACATAGAGTTAGATACGGCAAAAGAGTGGAAGACAGTGGCTCTTGAGGCAGTGAGCCACACTAGGGCCAAGAAAAAGTGGGCCAAAGGTGAAAAGGGGCCACACAGCCAAGGGTCCAATACGTGACTCTGGCTTGGTCAACAGTTTATGGTGACAGAGGTGCTCCCTTGGACATCTGCTTGGAAAACAGGCCACCCAGTCCCCAATCCCTGCCTCTGCTGTAGGCAGCACAGTCTCTTACCAATGAAGGCGTTGGGGATGGTGATCTTCAGCCACATGCGGTCACGCACCTCGAGGCCTGACTCTGGTGAGGCCATGGCTTTGACAATGGTGGCCATGTCACTGTGGATGGACAGGTGAAAGTCATCGAGGCCTGTGGTGTGGATGAAGGAAGGGAGGCAGAGGTGAGAGAGGACAGAAAAGACAAAGGAGACACATGGAAGCATCACACACGGGAGGAATGGGCCAGGGAACAATACATCGCAGACAGCCTTGGGGCACATGCTGTGTAAGCCCCCTTCCCAGTTATCTGTCACATCAGCCATTTCCTCTTGGGAAAAACCCAGGCAAGAGTCACAAACTTACAACAAACTCCTGGCTTTTTGCCTCACCTGAGCTTTCCAGACCCTTGCTTCAGGGCTCTCTATACCAGAATTATCCAAAACCTCCAGAAAGCAACCAAAAGAGCCCTGTGCTCAGCAAGACCCTGCCCCACTGCAAGGCTCTTTGCTCCCAGCTGCCTCCTCCATCCTGCCCTATCTGCTGTTTGGGAGGGCAATTGCTCCAGGGACATGCTGTATCCCTCTGGCCCAGCATTCTCAAACGCTAACCCTGACTGGTCTGAGCCTTTCCTCTGCATCTGCCACAGCTCCTAATTGCACCCAGGCTCCTCTACTCTCCTCACATAGAAAGCTGAAAAACATGGTATTATTTCACCCAGGGAGAACTCCCACTGATCCAAGTGCCAGCCTGTCAAGAGCTGTCTCCTTCTCAGTCCCTTGGCAGGGCAGACTTTGCCCACCCCAGCTATCCCCAGGCAGATGTATTGCTCCCTTCACAGCACAGTGAAGGTGAAGAGGCTGTGCAGTGGGCAGAGCACGGAGGCACAAGGACTTACGTTCGGTCTCTGGGATGGAGCTGGTGATGGAGGAGCTGGTGGAAGTGATTGTGCTCATGGATGGACTCATACCGTACGCTGGGTAGGTGCCAGTCATCGCTGCCGTGTGAGACACCCAGGCTGCCGGGTCGATGGGCCGGATGGGCTCACCTACCAAAAAGAAAGAGTCAGTTAGTAGCTGGAAAAAATGATCACATCATCAAAACAACCTCTGGGGAGGGACAGGGACTCAGCACAGCCCATTCCATCCCCAGTATCTGCCGGGACTCACCCGGATCGGAGCATGGAGAGTCTGGCCCAGCCCAGATCCGCTGGGGAGCAACTGGGAGAGAAAGAAGAGAGGGAGGGTCAGCAGGAGAGGTGCAGAGGGAGAGATCCCCCTATGGCTCAAGGGGGGGTTTCTCTTTCCTCTGGCGCCCCGAGCAAGTGACCCCCCTGCCCCAGTGAAACGCGTCCCCAGCGTGATGTGGGAAGGAGGGCTGGGCTTATGGGCATTTTGGTCTGGGAATAGGACATAGCAGCCTCCTAAAAGGAGAGCTGTACCCCATCAAACCCCAATTCAGTGCCATGTGGAGTCAAACACACAGGGGAAGAACAAGACAACATCCAAGTAAGTGCTTAAGGCAGGGCTCTCACATGAGCTGGGCACCAGCGTTAAGGGTGGGTCAGCTATCCACTTACTCCTGGGTAACGAGAAGCAGCCCCGCGGGCTGGGGTCCCAGCACTTAGCCACCGTCAGGGTGATGGGCCTGCAACAAAAAGGTGAGAGTTAGAACCAGAGCCTGGTGACACAAACCCCTGCATGACGGATGGATCCTGTGGGCTGGCTCTCTCCTGGGAGACAGGGAGAAGCCGGCTGTAAAGTGTCCTTGTTCCAATCCAGCTATAGGTTTCCTTGGTGACATGAACAAAATGACATGACCCTGGCTGAGGGTTGCTGATGACCCAAATAGAACAGAGAATCAAAGAACAGTTTGTGTTGGAAAGGACCTTTAAATGTCATCTATTCCAACTGCCCTGCAGTGAGCAGGGACCTGACATCCCCACAAAGAAAGGGGCACAGCCCCCAGTTCCCTGCCATTCTGTTGGCCGCAATTCTTGCTTTGGGCATGAAAACCCAGGAATCAAAGCAACACCAAAACCCTAAGTTCTGAGCTTCTGCAGAGCCACTGGCAGAGGTGGCTGAAGACATGACTCACACACCCCAAGCACACACTGTACAGCTGTCCCTGGAGGTAAGGAACAACCCAAGTACTTACCCTGGCTTGTGCACAATCTCCCTCAGCACCCGCACAGCATCATCGTTGCTCATGTTCTCAAAGTTGATGTCATTTACCTGCAAACGACACAAAGAAGTGAGTCTCAGAGATGTGACCAGAGGCTGAGCTCCCCACTCAGCTCAGCAGTGACTCAGCTTCCCTCTTCCAAGCACAGCTTCCTGGATTTAGCCTGCCAAAATTTGCAGGGAGGCTTCTGGGTCTTTTCTTTCTGCTTTCCCAGGCCCAAAGATGGAGATATGTGGGTGTGAAGTACCTGCAAGAGCATGTCCCCCGGCTCAATCCTGCCATCAGCTGCCACAGCGCCACCCTTCATGATAGAGCCAATGTAAATGCCTCCATCACCACGCTCATTGCTCTGTCCCACAATAGAAATGCCCAGAAAGTTGTATTTCTCTGCAGGGATGGAAAGAGAAAGCAGTAAGACACCACAAAGCAGCAGGCACAACTAGACCTAACCTCAGACAAAGCACGTACTAACTAACTATGGTGGCTTGCACCCCTGTCCCAGAGAGATGTCCCGGGACATAGAGAAACTCTTGAGAGACCAGTGCTTAAAGACAAGCCATTTTTCTACAGAATTCATCTCTTCACTCCTCCCCCATGTGTTCTCTTTGCCCCCTCCCCAGTTCCCTCTCCACCACCCAATCCCACTCTGGAAGGACTGTAGGCTCCATGCACACTTCCCACTCACCCATATTCAGCGTGACTGTGATGATGTTCAGGGACATGGTGGAGTCTGTTATGCTGCTGAAGGACGATGACTGCAACGTAAGTGAAACATGAGATGTCCTCCTGTGCCTCAGCAACTTTCCCAGCCCCAGCTTCCTCCACTTGTCTTTCCTCTCTGCCACTCCCTGTGGCACCACAGCCCCCACCCACAACTCCACTCTTATGCTGGGAGTTTTGCAGAGCCAGAGAACATCAGCCATGGTCCTTGTGACTTCTCCATAGCCAGGACAAGGCCTGTGCTCCCAACTCTTGAGGCTACATTGGCCCAGAAAATGTTTACAGCACTTTATGAAGTCTCAGCACTTGGACACCAACTGTCACAAGCTGTGACCACAACAAACACAGCTGAATCCCTGAGAGGGATCCACCAGGCAGCCCACCTTGCCCTGCACTGCCCTCCCCAGGATCCCCGGCCCCTCCCTGCATACCCGCTCGATGCGTGGAGCCTTCTGTTTCCGCCGGCGCCGCTTGTGCCTCCTCATGAGACGGGAAGCACTGCTTTGCTCTGTTGAACTGCTAAACCTGCAAGCAAAAGCAAGAGTCAGCTCTCTTGCTGCCAGGGTGGTGACTCTGGCAGCAAGAGAGCCATGGAAATAGCACAAGGAATGGAGGACTGCGAGGCAGAGGGGAGAACGTGCACACGGGGGACAGACAATAGTAGAGACGGCTGCTGGGTGAGACAGAGGCAGGTCTGAGCCCAGGACTACTGTGCCCTGCAATGGCATCTCTCTGCGCTGGGAGGAAGGGGGAAGTTAGCGTTTCTCCAGGACCTAAGCTCTCCTACCTGCTGGTGGAGTCATCTTCATCTGAATCGAAGAAGCTGGTGGTCTCCAGCTCACTGCTCATGAGTGTGGAGGAGCTCTCGTACCCACCCAGGTCTCGGCGCCGCTCTCCCTTCACGGTCCCATTCACCCTGGGTGCTATGAAAAGACAAGACTCAGTGTGCTTGACACAACCCCTTCCCCTATGCAGGGCTCATGGCAACCTTCTCAGAACAAATCTTGCTATCAGACAATCCCATCTAGTGCCATCCAGTTCCTAGTCTATCCTGGGATCAGATCCATCTTCTGTGGGATACTTTTATCATTATCAGATGGGGAAGAGGCTGACGGGCCACTAGGAACAATGCTGCCAAACTTGTGGAAGACTTGCAGTTGTTTCCTCGGTAAAGCAAGAAACAGCATGGAGTGGCCAGGCTACAGCACACTCTGCTTTTCAACTACAAAGGACTGAGGCACTACTGTCTCTGCTTGAGGCTTCTATAAGAGACACCTCCTTTGACCCCAAAGTTCTGATGCAACATAGGTGTTAGCTCCTGCCTCCAATGTGAGGCTACAGCTCTTCTAAGGGCCATAAAACAGCCCTTCTAAGATGGTAAGGTTCTGCAAAGCAGAGAAAGCTGCCCCAAGTCTAGAGCTGGTGCCCGCACCATGCCCCAGCCATGCCCTGCAGAGCTCTTGCCATGTTACCAACACTCACCATGCTCAGGCCCATCTGTCCGACGAGGTCGTTCCCTTTGCGAGGACACCACTGAGTCTGTTTCTGTCTCATTGTCCAAGTTTTCCCGACTCCCCCCGGTGTTAGGGCTGTAATGAGATAAAAGGAACAAATATGCTCAACAGGGAACAACTTGAGCAGGCTCTCTCGACACCTCTGTGCTGGCCAGCACAAGCTTCCAGCCATCAGCTGTCTCCTTCCTGAGGGATAGGAACAACCACAGCACATCTATGAGTGCAAGGCAAAGGACTGGGCATACTGTGCCAGCTCTTTGCCAGCTTCCCTGCACTATTTTTGGCATGTCCTTGCTTGTTGAATAATGCAGCTCCACTTCGAATCTGCTCCCAGCCTCATCCTCCTCCCCCCTTGCTGGCTGTAACCCCTGACAATTTGGGTAGGAGTATCCCAGCCCCTGCTCAGGATTACAGCAAACCCACTACGTGTCCCTTGGAAACTAGGGCAGATGTCCAGGTAACTTACTGGAAAGAGGGGGGCCTGGAGTCTCCAATTCCTCCTGTGCGCTCCATGGAAGGTGGCAGCTCTGTCTGGTTATCGGCACAGACCGAGCCAGCATCCGAGTGGGAACCCTCTGCAGACACCAGCTGGAGGGATGAGACAGAGAAGGAAACGGCTGCAGCTCTGGGAAAACATGTACAACAGTGGCCAAAGGAGCTGGCCAAAAGCCTGCCTGGCCCAGGATCTCATCTCTGATGGCAGACAACAGCAGATGCCCAGGAGCGGGTATGGAACAGGCCAAGCATGTAGCAACATTCCCTCTCGATGCCTTTCCAGACACCGGCTATTTGTGGCTCAGGAATTCCTGACCCAGCAGTGAAGCCCAGGTGGCTGACAGCCCTGCTTGGACACTCTGACATCACCTGCACGCCCACACCACACACTCAGGTAACCTTTAGCACACATCCTGTAGCAGGGAGTGGATTCCCCCAGTTCTTCTCACATTGGAAGAGGCAGCTACCAGTCATTCCTTTCCTCAGTTTTATCAGCCTCTACACCCCTGCCTTCAAGCTGTGGGACCAGCAGGACCTTCACCTCCCTAGTCCTCAGATGCTGCAGATAACAGAGCTCAGGGCTGAGGCTGGCTTTGAAATAGATTCCTGAAACAGGATCTTTTTCTGACTTCCATACAAACTTTGCCCAGCTTATTGGCTTGGGCACAATTTTCACCCAACCTCTGGGGGGCTCAACAGTTTCCCCAGTGCAGAAATTCAAGAAAGGGTCAAACCCCAGGAACTCTATACCAGCCATGCTTGTGGGGCAGTCCAGGCACACCCACATGCCTCTGTCTCTGTAATAAACCACCAATTTCAGGGCTCAGGGAATGAAGTGGAGCTTCCACAGGCTTGCCAGTGGAATGAAACTGAGGATAGCCCAAACGAGCAATTTCCCAATATTACTCCCTATCCAGGTTTGCACTCCCCCCTCCTTTCAAGTTGTAATGAACAGGACTAATCATAATAGGGCTGGCCAAGAGGACAACAAAAAGCCTCTTCCTTGAAAGACGCATTCAGGAACCCCCAGAGCAGAGGTGACAGGGCCCAGAAAAGATCTAAGGTGAAGGATGCCCCACTGTGGGTCAGGACAGAAGGATCATGAAACGTGGGCTGGAAAGGAGCTGACAGCTGCTGCCCAAACCATAATGCCCAGTGTCAATGCAGAGGCAGCACTGCTGCTTGCTGGAGAGGGAACCACATCTGCATGGAGCCGAGAGCAGATGTCAACTTGGGTGCAGGAGGCACAGCCCATTTACACAGGTCTTCAGTGCTTCCCAGCATCACTGATGAAAGAGCTGTGCCCTGCCCACCTTCAAGAACTGGGGAAACCCTGATAAGAGGCTGGTAAGATAATTCATAGATAATCATTAGGGCAGGGGGAGAGAGGTCTACTGCCAGAGAGGCACTGGGAATCGAGACAGGGATGTAGCTGGGACAAGGAAGACAAAGCAGCCCTGAAAAAGCCACAGCCAGGGCAGCAGACAGAGCAGAGTGCAGCCCAGGGTGTGAAAAGCTGCAGAGCCTGTCACACAAGCCTCAGGACAAGCCCAACGGCTCCTGATCTCACAATTGTCTAACCAGCTCTTGTCTCACACTGGCTCAGCACCCTCCCTCCAGCAAGCCCCAGGCACATGCCTGGCTTTGCTCCTGGCACCTTCCCAGTGACGTGTCTTCCCAGGACACATCCCACTCCCTAAGGGCCACATCCCTGCTCTGGCAGCCACTGCCCGGGAGCATATGGGAGAAGATATATTGGCAGTGGCCAGCATTGCCTAGGGAAAAGTCATATAACACTTTATGCTTGAAAATCTCAATGCAAGGTCAGGCAAATAGATCTGGACAGAGGGAACTAGTCATAGGCATCTGTCAAACAGCAGTAAGGAGAGTAGAGGGGGTGTTCCCAAGTTGGGGGAGGACTGATGCTGTCTTCCTCTAACGCTCCCAAGGCTGGGATTTCCTCCAGGGAAGGTTTTGATCACCACCCTGCACTTTTCCTCCCTCTTATACTGTCAGGAAATACTCACTTGGATTCAAGCCCCTGTCTTTTCTGGTCACTAAAATTAGTACTGCGTTCCTAAAATAGCCTCATCTCAGCCTGTCTGTCAGAAGCAGCAAAGCAAGTGCTGCCCCCCAGGCCCCAAACCACCCATGGACAAGGAGACTCTCAGCAGAAATAGAAAAAGGGATCATCAGCTGTGCATAAAGGTCTCTGGGACTGCCATCACCCCTTTGTGCACAAGTCTGGGCACAAGTTCCCTGCAAGGATCCAGCCCAGCAGAGCAGCAGCATGGTGGTCACACTAGACAGACCCACACCAGATCCATGTCAGTCACACTGAGCAACCACAGAGACCCTACAAGGAAAGCCAGCAGCTGCATGGATGCATGGAGGACAAGGAAAAGCACACCAGGTAAAAAAAGAGCAATGGAAAGGGTTCAGAGACTGTGGGACTCCCCATAGAGCAGGTAAAAGCAAAAGGCAGCTGGAAAGGGTGGGGTGGGGAGACATCTCGGTGCAGATGCAGCAGCAGCAGGATGAATGCAGAGGGATGGATGGCGGCCAAGAGCCGGACACAGGCTGTTTTCTGAAGGGCCTGGATAACCGCTAGAGGGAGGACAGCCGGCATCGGGCCCCGGCTCTTTGTGTGGGAGCCCAGCATATCCTTTCCTCCTGGTGCAAGGCACAGGCAGGAGCCCACCCTGCACTCCCCTGCCTGGAATCCAGCAGCAGCCAGGCCGGCAGTGGGCACCTGCCTGCCCCTGTCACCCCCTCCTCACAGCCCCCCAGCTGAGGCCTCGCTGTTTGGGGCAGGGATAGAAGCAGAATTAGGTCTGACCTAGCCTGATTTGCTGAGGGGCTATTTGGAGGCCTCCAGAAAAAAGTACTTGGGTCTTGGCTCTGCTCTTGGTGTAGATCCACACATCCCCACCAGCACAAATTGCAGCTCAGCAGAGGAAAAACGGGATGATGGGCTGTGGAGACTGAATGTCCTCTCCCCCCACTAACAGAGGGTCCCCTAGGGGCTGAGGGACGCATGCAGGCAGGGGACAGAGCATGTGCATGGCACGGCACAGAGGGAAAAGCTTGTCCTGCAGCTGCCCAGGCAGTACCTTTAGTCTTCAGGGCAGTCAAATCCAGTCTGCTTCACCAGCACTAAAGTCACTTAAGCCCTTTGCACCAGTCACTGGAGCGGGACTTTCCTTGGAAAGCTGACCCTGCCATAGGGGCACATGGGTTATGCTGTGGACAGGCCATGACCACAACCTCTGCTAGGCATCAGTTATCGTGAGCTCTCCAACAGAGGCATCCCACATCTTCCCCAGCACAGGGGACCCAGCACCACAGAGCCCCCTCTGCAGCTGAAGGACTGGAGTGTGGGAATCCAGCTCATCAGCTGTGTTAGCAGTCAGCACACCAACAGTATGGAGCAGTCCCTGTGCCTTACTCGGCACTACACATCCAAATGGTGGTTTTCAGAGGGCAGACACAGGCAGAGAGATACCATAGCAAGGGGCTTGCTTACCCATGACACCACACGGCCGTTGAAGCAGGGAAGCTTGGCATTGTCATCCGAGATCTCTTCTTTCACCACCCTGCAGAGGGGAGAGGAGGCAGTCAGAGCTGGTCCAGGATTTCAGAGGAAAATGAGACTTACCCAGGCGGGTATCTGCACCCAACAACAGGCAGCCCAGGCTTGGGAATGGAGCAGAAGAGGATCAGCAACTCCTGCCCACTGCTAGGTCACAGGTTCCTATGCTCACAGCCATGACTGGCAGGCTGGAAAGAACCCTAGGGCAGAACAGGCTCTCTGTGTGCATCCAGCTGTTTCATCCCTCAACTCACAATTTAATCAGTAAAACCAAAATTCAGGTGCATACCATGGAATCGTTTAGGTTGGAAAAGACCTTGAAGATCATCCAGTCCAATCATTACCCCAGCACTACGAAGCTCACCACTAAACCATGTCCCCAAGTGCCACACCTACACATCTTTTAAATAACTTCAGGGACGGCGACTCCACCACTTCCCTGGGCAACTTGTTCGAATGCCTGACAACGCTTTCAGTGAAGAAATGTTTCCTAATATCAATCTAAATCTCCCCTGGCACAACATCAAGCCATTTCCTCTTGTCCTGTTGCTTGTTACCTGGGAAAAGAGGCTGATCCCCACCTGGCTACTATCTCCTTTCAGGTAGTTGTAGAGAGCAATAAGGTCCCATCGAGCCTCCTTTTCTCCAGGCTGAGCCCCCTCAGCTGTTCCTCATTAGACTTGTGCTCCAGACCTGTCACCAGCTTTGTTGCCCTTTTCTGGACTCACTCCAGCCACTCATCTGTAGTGTACTGTAGTGAGGGGCCCAAAACTGAACACAGGGTTAGAGGTGCGACCTCATCAGTGTGGAGTATAAGGGGACAATCACTTTCCCTGGTCCTGCTGGCAGGACACACTATTGCTGACACAAGCCAGGATGCCATTGGCCTTCTTGGCCACCTGGGCACACACTGGTTCATGTTCAGCCACTATCAACCAGCACCTCCAAGTCCCTTCCCACCAGGCAGCTTTCCAGTCACTCTTCCTCCAGCTTGTAGAGCAGTGTGAGGTTGTTGTGACCCAAGTGTAGGAGCAGGAACTTGGCTTTGTTGAACCTCATACAACTGGCCGCTGATCCAGCCTGTCCAGATCTCTCTGCAGAGCCTTCCTACCGTCCACCACATCAACATTCCCACCCAATTTAGTCATCTGAGAACTGAGGGTGCCCTCGATCCCCTTGTCAAGATAACTGATAAAGATATTAAACAGAACTGGCTCCAGTACTGAGCCTTGGTGAACACACTTGTGACCAGCTGACAGCTGGATGTAGCTCCACTCCCCAGCACTCTCCGGGCCCAGCCATCCAGAGTTTTTTACCCAGGGAACAGTGCACCTGTTCAAGGCCAGAGCAGCTGGTTTCTCCCAGAGAATGCTATGGGAAACAGTGTCAAAGGCTTTACTAAAGTCCAGGTAGAAAACATCCACAATCTTTCCTTCATCCATTAACCATGACACCTTGTCATAGAAAATCAGGTTGGTCAAGCAGGACCTGCCTTTCCTAAACCCATACTGGCTGAGTCTGATTGTCTGGCTGTCCTGTACTTGCCATGTGATGGCACTCAAGCTGATCTGCTCCATGACCTTCCCTGGCAGTGAGGTCAGGCTGACAGGCCTGTAGTTCCCTGGATTCTCCTTCTGGCCATTCTTGTAAATGGGTGTCACATTTGCTCACTTCCAGTCAACTGGATCTCCCTGGTTGACCAGGACTGCAGGTAAAGGACTGAAAGTGACTTGGTGAGTACTTCCACCAGCTCCCTCAGTACCACTGGGTGGATCCCATCTGACTCCACGGACTTGCATGTGTCTAAGTGGTGTAGCAGGTTGCCAACCATTTCCTCTTGGATTATGGGGGGCTTAATTCTGCTCCTTATCCCTGTCTCCCAGCTCAGGGGCTTGAGTACCCTGAGAACATTTGGTCTTGCTGTTAAAGACTGAGGAAAAGAAGGTATTAAGTACCTCCGCCGTTTCCTCATCCTTTGTCACTGTTTTCCCCCCGCGTTCAATTAAGGATGGAGATTATCCTTAGCCCTTCTTTTGGTGCTGATGTCATTTGTAAACACATATGTATTGCCTTTTACAGCAGTAGCCAGATTAAGTTCTAGCTGGGCTTTGACCCTTCTAGATTTCTCCCTGCATAACCTCACAATATCCTTGTAGCCCTCCTGAGTTGCCTCTCCCTTTTTCCAAAGGTGATATATTCTTTTTTTCCCCTGAGTTTGAGCCAGAGCTCCCTGTTCAGCCAGGCCACTCTTCTTCTCCACTAGCTTGTCTTTCAGCACAGGGGGAGGTCCTGCTCCTGCACCTTTAAAATTTTCTTCTTGAAGAATGTCCAGCCTTCCCTGGGCTCCTTTGCCCTTTAGGACTGCCTCTCGGGGGACTCCGTCAGCCAGCTCCCTAACCAGGCCAAAGTCTGCCCTCCGCAAGTCCAAGGCAGCAGTTCTGCTGACCCCGCCTCCTTACTTCTGTGAGAATCAAAAACTCTTATCATTTTGTGATCACTGTGCACAAGACAGCCTCCAGTCACCCCATCACCCACCAGTTCTTCTCTGTTCACAAACGACAGGTCCAGCGTGTGCCTTCCCTAGTTGGTTCCCTCACTCGCTGTGTCAGGAAGTTCTTCCGCACACTCCAGCAACCTCCTAGACTTTTCTGCTGTACTGTATTTCCAGCAGATACATTTCCACCAGTTCACTTATTTCTAAAGAAATACATAATTTAAACCTCTTTATAATGATCTGAAAGAATCACAACCTATGCCAGAGATTTCTAATAGATGAAAGTGAAATACATTAAACATGCTGGCTCCCAAATGTTACTGTTGCTTTTTAATTACATACATAATATTTCAACATCACTTTGAGCTTTATAGTTGTGCCACAATGTCATGTTCTTGCATTACACAAACAGCTACATTATCAGACTTCATAGCAGAGGGAGCACTGATAACTTTTTCTCCCAACAGTAAAAAAAAAAATTAAAAAAATTAGTTTTCTTCGGAGAGTAAATTTCTTCTTTTTATTTTAAATATCACAGGACACCTAAATACTTTTTCCACAGTGAATCTGCAATCAAAACAACATGTAAATTCACCAGAATTAATTAATACCATCTTTGATAAATTGAATCCAGTGGCAAAACAGACTTTATCAAGCTCATTTTCTTTTCTTCTCAATGACATTTTAAGCACTCTTATTTAATACAAAGACACATTACAAGTCATTTGTGATATTAAGTTCCGTTTCCAGGCTATATCTAAGGCAGCTTGACACACATTGTGCTTAAAAAAAATGTCGTAACTAAATAGTAAATAAATTTTTTAGGGGGGCGGGGAAGAATCTAACAGAAAAAGAACAAAGTAACATTACTTTGTTATTGAAACCAAGGGAAATTATGTATTAAAAAGAAGTAGACTATAAGTAATTAGCAATACTCATAGGTAGCATCCCATCAACAGCTCTGAAGGGTACCCAAGTCAGTCCCCAACTCACGGAGAATCGAAGAGGATGCCAGCGTGGGACGCGGAGCTGTGGCCCATTGCCCCAGACTGCCATCAAGGGGCTCGGAGAAACAGGTACTCTGGGCTCCTGGCTGCTCTCCCTGGTGTGCCAACAGCTGCCCAAGCCGCCACTGAACACAGGACGGCAAAGCTTGCCAACACTCACAAGGCATCAGCAAAAGGCAAATGAACAGTGCTGCAAGCCCCAAACCTGGGGAGCAGGCTCGCTCCACCCTGCCAGCCCCACTGGTTGCACCAGTGTCACGCACGCTCAGCAAAGGGCTGCCCCACAGGGTGAGAGGCAGCACATCGCCAGGCCTTTGCTGGCAGCTGGCACTCACAATCCCTGCTCAAACTGGAGAGACAGAAAAGGGACCAGACAAAGGCTACCCGTCCCCAGAAGGCACAGATGAGGAGGTCATGGTTTGAGCAATCTAATCCACTCCCAGGATGTGTGTTAATTCTTCTGGCACAGATGGAGGAGCAGGAAAAGCAGGAAAGGAGCAGTGAGGATGGATTAAAATCCCGCTGGCTTAATGCTTCTTCAGCATGTTCTATGCCAGCCTCTGCCCAAAACCCCTGCAGCCCAGGATGAGTGTCAAACACAGGCAGTGTCCCCCCAGGACCCATCCCCTTTGGTGCCCACGTAAGCCCTTTCCAAGGCAGGAAAGTTGTTGTCTCCTCATTTCCAAGTGCACACACACACGCACCCTGCCCTGGCTGCACTAGCATCCATTCATACTGTCGCCAGCAGCCTGGACCGTGTCCAATTCCTAGAGAGAACTTCAGGCAGAGCCAATTTTCAGTGCTGCATGATGACTGCTCGGGGACACAGAGCCCTGCCTGTGGGTGAAGGGACAGGGTGATATATTCACTGGGTCAAGGTGACCAACTGCTCAGCACAAATGAACTATTCCACTTTCAGCGGGGACAGAGGAAACCAACCCCAAGACCCACCCACTCACCCTCAGCTGCAATGCTTGATAGAGAACAAGCTCCCTCTGTCCTGAGAGCTGGTCCCTCCTCACTCTTATTACCCCGTGGCTGCCCCAGACATCCCAGGGGTCAGCTCCACCCTGGAGCGTTTTCTCCCTCCTTCCCCAGCCACTACATTATTTATCACTATTTATCACCCAGATGCCAGAGCATGATGGATTATATATTTAGACTCTACAGAGCAAAAACCGATAGTGCTGGAGTCAGGCACATGCCGAGCAGGAATATCTCTGCAGCACTGCTCACGTCTGTCACCCCTTGCACCATCCCAGCTATTCATGTCCTGCATTCCTCTCCAGCCTCAGCCGGAGCTGCAGCCTTCCTCCTCCCACCTCTCACCACCCTTCCAGTCACACTTCTCACACGGACACATGGACTCGACCACAGGTTCACACGTCAGAAGCCACTGAGGGAGCAGCCTCTGGGGGAGCTGTGAGCAGTGCCACGTTTTTGCTCCGCGCTTGCACGGGGAGGCAGCCAGGAGATGAAACTGTCCTGTGGATGTGCTGGCAG